CTCAACAAGGTGGGAGTACAAGGATCATACCTCAACATAATAAAAGCTATATATGATAAACCCACAGCCAACATCATACTCAATGGGCAAAAACTAAAACCATTCCCTCTAAGAACAGGAACAAGACAGGGATGCCCACTATTGCCACTCCTCTTTGACATAGTACTGGAAGTACTAGCCATTGCAATTAGACAAGAGGAGGAAATAAAAGGCATCCAAATTGGAAAAGAAGAAGTAAAGTTATCCTTATTTGCAGACGACATGATATTGTATATAAAAACCCCAAAAGACTCCATTAAAAAACTAATTGGCTTACTAAATGAATTTGGCAATGTAGCAGGATACAAAATTAACGCCAAGAAATCTATGGCATTTCTATACACCAACAGCGAATTTATAGAAACAGAGACTAAAAAAGCAATTCCATTTACCATCGCACCAAAAAAATTTAGATACCTAGGAATAAACTAAGGAGGTAAAAGACCTATACGCGGAAAACTACATGACACTGAAAAAAGAGATAGAGGAAGATGTAAACAGATGGAAGAACATACCATGTTCATGGATTGGTAGAATCAACATCATCAAAATGTCCATACTTCCTAAAGCAATCTATAGGTTCAATGCACTCCCCATTAAAATACCAACGGCATATTTCACTGACCTAGAAAGAACTCTCCAAAAGTTCATTTGGAACAATAAAAGACCCCGAATAGCCACAGCAATCCTGAGAAAGAAGAGTAAAGTAGGAGGGATCTCAATACCAGACTTCAAACTGTATTACAAAGCCACTGTTCTCAAAACAGCCTGGTACTGGCACAAAAACAGACATATAGATCAATGGAATCGAATTGAGAACCCAGATATCAACCCAAATCACTATGCTCAATTAATATTTGACAAAGGAAGCACAAATATACAATGGAGTCAAGACAGTCTCTTCAATAAATGGTGTTGGGAAAATTGGACAGATACAGGCAAAAGAATGAAACTATTAGGTCTAGTAATAATTAATGTCGTTTTCTAATACTTTTTAAAATCGAATTTAAACAATACAACAAAATTTAATCAACAATATAGTTGCCGTTGTTTTCTACTACTTGTGCCCAACGCTCAGGAAGCATTTTAATCCCTCTGTTGTAAAATTCTTGTGATTTTGATGCAAAAAATTCGGTCAATGCATTTTTGAGGCATTCTTCATTATTAAATTTTTTTCCAAGAAGAAAGTTTTGCAAAGAACGAAACAAATGGTAATCGGAAGGGGCAATATCAGGAGAATATGCAGGTTGAGGGAGAACTTCCCAATCCAACTGGCGCAGTTTTTCAGCAGTGATTCTTGCAGTATGCGGTTGTGCATTATCGTGGTGAAGAATTATGCCCTTCCGATTAATCAGCGCGGGTTCTTTTTCTCTTAAAGCTTGGGCTAACCTTTCCAATTGGGCACTATACACTGCACTTGTAATGGTTTGGTTAGATGGTAAAAGTTCATAATGAAGAATTCCTTTAAAATTCCACCAAACACACAACATCATTTTTTTCGCATGCAAGTCAGGTTTTGGCGTGGGCTGCGGAGCCTCATTTTTGTCCAACCATTGAGGCCGCCTTTTCAAATTAACATACAGCACCCATTTTTCATCTTTGGTAACAATTTGCTCTAAAAACGGCAAACGGTTTTGACGAGAGAGGAGCAAACTGCAAATTGTGACTCTTTGATTACGGTTGTTGTCGGTCAACTCATGAGGAACCCATTTTTCAAACTTTTGGACTTTGCTAAGTGCACACAATTGATTGGAAATTGTTTTTTGTGAACAATTTAAAGTTGTCACAAGCTCTTGTTGGGTAATTTGAGGATTTTGCACCAAAAGAGCTTGAAGAGCTTCTTAATCAAAATTGGACACACGGCCTCGACCACTCTTGTCATCTAACGAAAAATTTCCCTCGCGAAATTTCTCAAACCAACGCTGGCATTTTCTGGCGCTAACTGCATCTTGACCAAGAGCACTACAGATGTTTTTTGCAGCCTCACTTGCTTTTCTTCCTAATTGGAACTCGTAAAGCATGCAATGCCGAATATGCTCTTCATCCGCCATCTTCTTAGCCCTAGTTTTGCAACAAAAACCAAACCAAATACAAACTTTTTCAAGCAAAACTTGTTAATTGCACTTCACAGGTTCTGTAGATACCACGTGTTTGAAGGTTATGTCAATACAAGTCAACGCCAAGCAAGATTTTAAACGAATGTTTAAAAACGACATTAATTATTACTAGACCCGATAGATCACCAACTTACACCATACACAAAAATAAACTCAAAATGGATACAGGACTTAAACATCAAACGGGAAACCATAAAAATACTAGAAGCATCCACAGGCAGCAAAATCTCAGACATATGCCAAAAGAACTTCTTCACTGATAGTGCCCCTAGGGTAATGGAAGCTAAAGAGAAAATAAACAAGTGGGACTACATCAAAATAAAAAGCTTTTTTACAGCAAAAGAAACCATCAACAAAACAACAAGAAAGCCCACTGTGTGGGAGAACATATTTGCAAATGTTACCACTGATAAAAATTTAATCTCCAACATCTACAAACAGCTTATACAACTAAATAAAAGGAAGGTGAATGATCCAATTAAAAAATGGGCAATGGACCTAAATAGAATATTTTCAAAAGAAGACAGAAGGAAAGCCAAAAGGCACATGAAAACATGCTCAAAGTCACTAATTATCCAAGAGATGCAAATCAAAACAACAATGCGGTACCATCTCACACCTGTCAGAATGGCCAACATCAACAAATCAACAAACGACAAGTGTTGGCGAGGTTGTGGAGAAAAAGGAACCCTCATGCACTGCTGGTGGGAATGCAGGCTGGTGCAACCACTGTGGAGAACAGTGTGGAGTTTCCTCAAAAAACTGAAAATGGAACTCCCATTTGACCCAGTTATCCCACTTCTAGGAATATATCCCAAGAAACTGTTAATAGAAACACCAATCAGAAAGGATATGTGCATCCCTATGTTCATAGCAGCACAATCTACAATAGCTAGAATCTGGAAACAGCCTAGGTGCCCGTCAGCAGATGATTGGATCAAAAAACTGTGGTACATCTACACAATGGAATATATGCTGCCATAAAAAGAAGGAATTCTCATCATTTGCAGCAACCTGGATAGAACTAGAGAACATCATGCTGAGTGAAATAAGCCAGTCAATGAAAGAGAAACACCACATGGCCTCACTCATTTATGGATATTAAAAAACATTATAAACTGACAAACCAAAAGATAGATATAAAGACAGTAAAGCAACAAGCAGACTGTAAAATTACAGCAGGGAGGGTAGGGAGATCTGGGGGAGATAAGAGATCAACCGAAGGACTTGTATACATGCATATAAGTACAACCAATGGACACAAAACTCTGGGGGGGAAGGGAGGGTATGTATGGGGGGGGGGGCAATGTTAAAATATGTACACAGATAATTAATTAAAAAAAAATAGGGGAAAATTTTTTTTTACTTATTTTAAAAATATATATTTTATTTATTTTTTACAGAGAGGAAGAGAGAGGGATAGTTAGAAACATCGATGAGAGAAAATCATCCATCAGCTGCCTCTTGCACACCCCCTACTGGGGATGTGCCCGCAACTAAGGTACATGCCCTTGACCGGAATTGAACCTGGGACCTTTCGGTCCGCAGGCTGACGCTCTATTCACTGAGCCAAACCGGTTTCGGCAAGAAATATATTTTTAAAAATTAAATATAAATATGGAACTGCCGTTTGACCCAGTGATTCCACTTCTAGGAATATGTCCTAAGAAACCAAAAGCACCAATCTGAAAGAATGTATGCACCCTGTGTTCATAGCACAATTCACAATAGCTAAGATCTGGGAACAGCCCACGTGCCCATCAGTGGAGTGGATAGAAAGCTGTGGGACATTTACACCAGGAACACTCTGCAGCTGTGACAAAGAAGGGTCTCTTACCCTGTGAGACAGCATGGAGGGGCCTGGAGAGTCTCATGCTAAGTGAAAGAAGTCACTCAAAGAAAGACAAGTATCACATGATCTCACTCATATGGTGGAATCTAACAAAATAAAATAACGAACAAAGTGGATCCAGAGACATGGAAGCCTGGAACAGAGTGCAGAATCTCAGACGGAAGGTGGGGAAGGGTGGGTGGGTGGGAACTAATCAACCAAAGACCTTAGTTGGTGCACAGATGGGTAGCCCAAGGACACAGACAATAGGGTGGTGAAGGCCTGGGTGGGAGTGGTCAATGAGAGGAGGGGGAATATGTAATACTTTAAACAATAAAGATTAAATTTAAAAAAAAAGTTTAAAGAAAAAAAAAAATGAAACCCACTCAGGTAAAAGCCAATAATGACTTTTGGAGTCTCAATGGTATGGAATAAATTCCTGTTCTTAAGAAAAAAATAAAATCATATGAAAAATAATAATACAATAAAATATGAGCTCCATAAGGGCAGAAACTTTTATCTGTTTTGTTGAGTAAAATATTCCTAGTGTCAAATGCTCAATAAATATTTGTTAAGTGAATGGATAGTATTACCAACATTATATTGCATTTATTTATAAACCAACCACCTTCGGAAAGGCAAAATAATATACAGAGATCTAAAGCTTTAGTTAAACCGAGCTCCCGAAGACAGAAACTGTACATTATCATCAGCCCTTAATAAATGCTGATTTAATAAGTAATGGCCTTTGCAAAAACAAGGAGGTGAAAATGAGCTGGCTATTTGGGGGGCACAAACATATTATTAGGTATACAAAACAGCAATGATGAAGAATCAAAATAGATGAGAGTAAAATGACTGCAAAATGAGACATGGTAAAAAACAACCAGCAACACTTAGTTGTATAAAATGAATCCTTTATGAGGGGAATGTGCCGGGAAGGTGCCAGTTCCTCGCCCCCAAATAACAAATTCGATGTGAACGCTCAGGATGCACCCTCTGAACCCTCTGACCTGTGGCACTGTGGTCTCCAGATTGTAGTGTTTGTTTAGGAACTTCAGCAGCTTCTGTGAGGGCCGGTCAATGGCTAGTTGGTGTGGTTCGACTCGCTCCTTCTGCAGGGAACAGGAGAGGTGTGGGGAGAACATGCCGAGGGGACGCGGGAGCCTGGGGGGGGAATAGGAGGCCACGGGGCCACTGGGGAAGGGGAGGCAGAGGCGCCAGCAGGGCTCACACAAAGGGCCTTTTTCTCCCTTTGGACAGACGGGGAGGAGAGAAGTGATACCTGCAACATATACTGAAAGAGTTCTCGCCCGTGGCCGTGGCGCTGAAGTGTCTCATGGATGTAAAAGTCCAGGATGCAAAGTGGTTCCACCTCATTGTGAGCCTCGCGATCATCCTGAGTAAACAACAAATACCTGGTTAGGACCTCCCAAGCTTGGGAACTGTTGTTCTCAGGAATCCAGGCCTCCGGACTCGCAGCCTCCACCAGCACTCACCAGCACAAAAAGTTTCTTGTATCCAACTTTGAGGAAGCCAATGATAGCTCCTTTTCCAGCCCTGTGGGAAGGGGATAGTGAGCACACAGGGGCTGCTCTGAGAGCAAAGGCAAGGGGCTGGGGCTGGGGCTGGGCTGGCCATGGAGACGCTGGGGACTCACGGTCGCGCCGAGCTGTCTTTGAGCACATACATAACGTGGCGGTTACTCTGCATCCTCGAGGCGCTGGTGATGGGTACAGGAAGGTGCTGGGCCTGCCAGGGAGACGACAGACATTTTGCAAGTCCCTTCCAAAGGGACCCAGGCTCCCTAGCTGCTGTCCCAGGTGTCCCCAGTACCTTGGCGGAAGCCTTGCCCAGTTCATCTACAATGGTCATAAGCTGCTGCTGCACATCCACGCTGTGGGCAGAGGACAGGGAGTCACTGACCGGGGGCTCTGCCACCCAGGCTCAGCACCTAGGCCATGCCCGGGCCTGGCTGCCTTCCATCCCACCCTCTGGGACCTCAACTTCGGCCACGCCCCCCGCCCTGAGGTCACCGCGGGGAGCAGGGAGGCCGGTCAGCCACGTCCTTCGGCTGGGACCACACATTTGGCCGAGGGGTGGCCTGTCATACAGCCAAGTCAGATCAAGCCCACTAAGTGGGGGTGAAAAGTCACCAACAGGTCGAGCCAGGACGTCAAAAGGAGGGCCGTTGTCAGTGAGAAGGGGGCGTGGTGCCTGGGCGGGTTTCCAGGGGAGCGGGGACAGGGCCTCGGGTGGGTTTGAGATGTCACCGGGCTGGCGTAGTGGTTCCGGGTCGGCGGGCCGGGGGCCGCAGGTGCTGGTCCAGCACCGTGATCCGCTCTGGAAGCAGCGCGTCCACATCAAACGGGAACTCCATGGCCCATTGTGCACGGCCAACCCCGCCCTCCCGGCGTCACTTCCGCCCGCCCCGCCCCTGGGGCTCTACTTCCTCCTGCCGGGCGGGGCCCAACCCCCAAGCCAGCCCTCCGCCTCCCCGCCACGCCGCCCGGCCCGCAGCCCCCTGCACAGGGCCCGGCAGTGCGGTGCGTCTCCCTCAGGGCGCTCCGCCAGCCCGGCCCCGCCCAGCCTCAGGCCTGGGGGCCCACCAACTGGTCCGGGCAGAGGGGCCCCAGCGCCCACCCCAGGGCTGTGGCCCTCCGAGGGCCTGGCGGGGCGGGCCGCCCCCCCACAGCAGCACCATCCGCAGACCATCCGCACACAGCGCTTTATTGTGGAAAGCCACGCCGGCGGCGCACAGGCTGAGCCGGCCGGCTGCAGGCGTGGGGAGCAGGGTTTCCCGCGGGCATCCTGCCGCTCCCCCAGCCTCAATCACTTCCTCTCACTGAGGCTGGGCCGGCCGTGGCCACACAACCGACCCGGTGCTTCAAGGTGCACCGTCACCTAACTCCCAGGCATCATCCCCCGAGCCCTGCGCCCCTCCAGTCCACAGCGCTACAGCGGCTCAGAGGAGGTGTCGGCTCCTGCGGCGAGCGCCGCCTCCGGCATGGACTCCGGTGGGGGGCCACTCTCTTCTAGGAGATGGCCGTGGTACAGTCGACGAAGGCGGGACAGCTCTCTCTCCGGCGGCTGCTTCCAGCTGTACCAGGGGTACCAGGGGTCCCCTGAAACCAGAGTGGGAGCCGGGGGAGTCGCATTCACAGCTCCGTGTGAGTTACTGAAGTCAAGGTCCCGAGGTTCAACCTGGGGGATGTGGTAACTAAGGAGACCTAGGGGATTTAAAAAAGAGAGGCAGTGAGGGAAGGGAGCAGGGGGGGGGGGGGGGGTTGTCCAGGCTAAGAGAGCCAGGAAGGGAAATAATCTATAAAGGAAAGAAGGACGCAGTCACAGCCACTGGGTACACTGCCCAAGGCCGAGTGGCGGAGAGGGAAAGTGGGAACCAGGCTGAGCTCTTGCCCACAAGCTGTGCAGCCCCGCACCAGGCTATGATGCTGCATCTGCCATCATGGAGGGGTCCCTTTCTCTACGTTATAGGAAAGAATTATGGAGCCAGGGCTAGAAATTTATACAAAGACCCTCTTATGGCACTGGGACTTAAAAAGAGGGAAGAAAAAGGACAAAGGAGGAACAGGGGACGATGACAAGGTAACAGACTCAGGAGAGGGCCTAAGGGACAGGGAGTGACAGAGATTGGAAGCACATGATGGGTGCTAACTTCTCAGATAGGCGGGAGCATTTGTGTCTATTCTCTAGCCCTCAGCCACCTTCTTGGTGTCTAACATCTCTGGGCCCTCCTCCACTCACCATGGTCCCTGGCTTTCTGGATGGCCTGAGTCAGCTTCTTGTGCTGCTTCATGCAGACTCCTGAGAACAGAAAGGTGACTGCTCAGCCTGCCAGGCACGGGGAGCACTTCCAAAGGTGAGGGCTGGCTACCCTTCTCCCGGCCCTTCATGCCTGATGGGGAGAAACCCTCCCTCCCGCTGAGAGCTGGGGTCAGCACTCAGGAAAGAAGTGCCAGCTACTAGAGAAGCCATTTAACGGCAAAGGCTGAAAACAGGGAACAGAACATAATTCAAAAGGCAAGTGTGACCCTAACTGGTTTGGCTCAGTGGATAGAGCATCGGCTTGCGGACTGAAAGGTCTCAGGTTTGATTCCGGTCAAAGGCTTATAGATTGGTTGTGGCCACATCCCCAGTAGGGGGCGAGCAAGAGGCAGCTGATCGATGACTCTCTCTCATCGATGTTTCTCTCTCTCCCTCTCTGTAAAAAAATCAATAAAATAAGTATATATATATATATATATATATATATATATATATATATATATATATATGTTTAAAGGCAAGTGTGCTTAACTGGGAGAGTTCAGTGAAAGAAGGAAGGATTTCAGGTTCAGGGAAGGCGATCTGAGAGAGTAGCAAAAGAGTCTTCAGTCTTACAGTTTGACAGGAGCTTCAAACTACTTTTTAAAACTCCCCGACAAACCGAATTCCACCACTCATGCTGCCATCTCCAAAATGATAAATTGAGATTAATATTTTGCGAATTTATCTTGTTAGCAGGCCTGGCAAAATGTATATGTTTTAGGCGTTGTAGGTCCTAGAGTCTTTGTCTCAACTACTCAGTTTTGCCACTGTAGCTTGCAAGCAGTTATAAACACTGAAAACCAATGTACGCTGCAGTAAGTCAGCATTAGCCATGGTTGAAGTTCGTTAATAGATGTAATCTTTAAAAAAAAAAAAAAAATTTTTTTTTAAATTGTTTTTTTACAGAGAGGAAGAGAGATGGATAGAGAGCTACAAACATCAATGAGAGAAACATCTATAAGCTGCCTCCTGTACACTCCCTACTGGAGATGTGCCCTTGACGGGAATCAAATCAGGAACCCTTCAGTCGAAAGGACGACCTCTAGCCACTAAGCCAAATCGGTTAGGGCTAGATGTAATCTTGAATTGTTAAATTTGCAACTCCAAATTTGGGAAATCGAATTGAATTGTCAATAGTAAATTTATAAGAAAGCTTCAGAGAGAAAGGGAGGAGAGACAGAAACATCAATGATGAGTGTCATGGATCAGCTGCCTCCTGCACGCCCCCTATTTGGGAATTAAGCCCGCAACCTAGGCATGTGTCCTTGACCAGAATCAAACCTGGGACCCTTCAGTCCATAGGCCGACGCTCCATCCACTGAGCTTTCTGTAGAAGTGAAGAGCCCTGCCCTTGCCATTGCGGCTGGTGCTGGTTTGATTCCTGGTCAAGGCATATGCACAGGTTCTGGGCTCAATCCCCAGGATGGAGCGTGTGGGAGGCAGCTGATTGTTTCACTCTCTTGTGAACAGTTCTCTATACCCTCCTCTTCCTTCCTCTCTCTCTCTTAAAAGGGAAAAAAAAAAAAAAAAAAAAAAAAAGCTGAGTCCTAAAGAAAATCACCTCCATTTATGTTTCAAGATCTATCTTTAGTTTTGCTTACAATGACACTAGCCTGCATCTTTTGTCCACATGTTTTTAGCATGTGAGTATCCCCAGTAAGCCACGATTTCCAAAAGATCCGATTGCACCTTTTATGCCATGGCAGGAGCCATCATACCTGCTGTGGGCCGAATGAAGTACTCCGGAAGAGCTATTAGGGTGGAGACAAGGATGAGCGGCTCACCTGTGTATGGCGCATGGAAGATGATGCCCGTGTGAGCACAGACAAACTGCTGCAAGAGCTTCACGTTCTGTGAGAAAGGGTGGAGAAGGGAGTGGGGGAGCGCAGGAGAACCCTGAGAGACTAGCAGTGCACAATCCCTGCACACCACACATGACTGAATCCCTCGGAGCCTCTCGCTGCTGACCTCCTCCACGTCCCAGTTTTAGTCCCATCACTTGACTGGACACAGTCATGAAAACTCCAGCAAACAGCTCCCCTTTCCTGGTCTTTCACCCACTTCACATGCACCCCCACACTGTCACTGAGACTTAGACAGAATGCTCCTCTCCAGGGCTTAGGCTCTAAAACCAGCCCTCATGCAAAAACCGGGGACAGCGGTATTCTCTGAAATCACCCGGAAAAATAGTCTGTGTTGTATTGTGCATGTATGGATGACTCCAATCAATCTTAAAGTTGACGATATAGAATGACTCTCAGCTAGCAAGTTAACCAAAGGAAACGAGGCCCGAGGAGTACACAGGTCCGTTTGTGGAACTGGAATGGAAGGCAGAGTCATCCACACCATTAATCTGTAATTTTCCTCTCTCCCTTGTGATGTGATTACTAACTGTATAAAATTAGTGACAATACCCTTTTATTAACCAACTAGAAGCCGGATGATAAAATCCGTGCAGGAGCGGGCCTGCCTTCCCCCTGTGCCAGCGCCGGCTCCCTCTGGCACCAGACCGGGGCTTCCCGCACAGCCCGGCTTCGTCTGGCAGACCGTCCGTCTAGTTGGCATGTTACGGCTTTTATTATTCTAGGTTGTACACAGTGGAAATTGAGAAGTTCCCTATTGGACTCCTCTACACCCTGCGTCAGAAAGGGGCTGAGAATGGCACACGCCCTCCCCCGCTGACAGAGGCCATGCAGCTCCCACAGCAACCAGCCCCAGCTCCTGGTCTGCCACGTCACTGCGCGCAGGAGAGCATGCTCCCATGGTAGGTTTGTACGTTTAATTCCGTCAGGAGCCAGTCCTGTCCTCCTCAGAGAGCTGTGTGTACCTGCTCTCCAGTTGCAAGCCTCAGCCTGCCACCAAACAGCAACATGACAAGGAATAAAACCTCAGGAAAAACCAGTCCGATCTCCTTGCTAATAATCACGACGGATAAAACTAATCTTTGGACGTTGTATTCCCATTAGGAACAAGCCCTTTTCTTGCCTGCCGATTCCAACTGTCAATTCCATAGGGACAAGGTTTAGTACATTCCACAGTGGAGGGCAAATGACTAGAGGGAGGATGTTTTTATAGTTCCAGGAAGCAGTGCAAAATGGGGTGCAGGAGTGCCAGGCAATCTCCTCAGCAACACACAGGCTCCAGACCCTCTCCGGGAAACAAGAACTCCTTACCCTAAAGTCGACGTGCAACTTGTGATCCCGGCAGATGGGGCAGGGATTCCCAGCGACTTTATCTTTGCGCTGCAGAGAGAGGAAAGCCCTGCCAGAATGCATGCACTGCCGCTGTCACTGTGGTCCCACCCCACTGCACATCCCCTCCGTGTGCCACTCTCAGACACTCACAATGCAGGTCTTCCGAGTCTTCTGTGGGGGCACTCCGCCTTTGTGGTTGCGGCGGTAGTCAGCCCAGACAGGGCGAGAACCATAGCGGGTCTGGTATTCTGAATTGAGAGACCACAAATGCTAGGGTGAAGGGGCTGTCTCTGTCCATTTACTTCACACTCTACAGAACCCTCTCCCCCCTTAGAGTTACCTTCTGAGTCCAGGTATTTCCAGGGTTCATTCTCATAAGGGGAAATGGGCAAAGAATCTTCCTCAAGGGGGGCTTCAGTGCTAAGAGTTTGGAAGGGAACCTATAAAAGGGTGATAATAAAAAGTGAACGCAAATAAGAAATCCAGCCCTAACTGGTTTGGCTCGGTGGATGGAGCATCGGCCTGCGGACTGAAAGGTCCCAGGTTTGATTCCGGTGAAGGGCATGTACCTTGGTTGTGGGCACATCCGTAGTGGGGGGGGTGCTGGAGGCAGCTGATCGATGTTTCTCTCTCATTGATATTTCTAAGTCTCTATTTTTCTCCCTTCCTCTCTGTAAAAAACCAATAAAAAATATTAAAAAAAAAAATTCTACTGTTTTGCTCCCAATACTTCAGGGAGAAGGGGAACACACATCCATTGTGTTAATGGGATATAGCATTATATGATACACACACACGCACACACGTGGAAGATAGCATATTTGTTGGGGTTAAACTGACATTATCAACAATCACTCTCCCAATCTCCACCTGGGTCCTGAAAGATGCTTATATCAGAGGATAACTAGTACATGAGACCGAGAGGCCATCTTATTGGGGTAGAGAGGGCAACTTAAAAACCAGGCACATATAAGGTATTCCTGTTTTTTGGGATGAATTGAGTCCATTGGGTGGAGAAGGCGAAGGAAGGAAAAGTGGGGCGTAAGCTCCTTGGCAGTGAGATGGCGCGGAAGGGATGTGCAGCACAGGGGCACCTCCAGCTCAGTCCGCTCAAGGATCACTGCGTACCCCAGCTTTATAAAAGCTGAAGGTCATCATTCCATAGGGAAGAACAAACGAGTCCTAACGCCAGCTTTAAAGCTACCAGGCCTGTCATTAGCTCCGTTGTGACCCCTGTCACCACTCTGCAGTCCCCTTAGGGAGTGGCAGCTGGGCAAGCCTTCCAATATCTCCAGGCCCCACCAAATCCGTGCCCTGCCCCACCAAGAACCACCAGAATGGTGAGTACATGAGGTTGGAGGGAAACCTCAATCCAAAGGACTGAGTTAAACTTTCTCATATACTCTGATAATCGGATTTAGTGAGATGGAGGGCCGAGACGCCGGTCACCAGGTGGAGATAATGTGTCCTGGCTTCACTGAGAGACAGCATGGCTGATAGAGGTGCGTGCCGGGAACCCAAGGACACTCCAGGGTGTCACAGATTCAGACACCATCTGTAGATTTGGGCTGGTTGCCCAAGACAGGGTCTGGAGGGGCCATTCCTCACCTAGTTACTTAGCCAAGATGCCAATTTGGGAAGATGATGGGATCTAAACCTGGCTTTTTGCCCTGGCTGGAGATTAAAAACTGCACGGAGCCCTGGCCGGGATGGCTCAATGGATTGGAGCGTCCTCCATACAACATACACTTTGGATTCCCTGTCAGGGCACATACCTAGGTTGGCAATTCGATCCCTGGTGCGGGGTGCGCACGGGAGGCAACTGATGGATGTTTTTCTCTCTCCTTTCCTCCAAAAAAAATAAATAAATAAACTTATCCTCCGGTGAGCATTTTTTAAAAATGCACGGAGAGCAGAAACCGGTTTGGCTCAGTGGCTAGAGCGAGGCCTCCGGACTTAAGGGTCCCAGGTTCGATTCCGGTCAAGGGCATGGACCTTGGTTGTGGACTGGGGATGTGCAGGAGGCAGCTGATGGATGTTCCTCTCTCACCGATGTTTCTGACTCTCTGTCCTTTCCCTTCCTCTCTGTAAAAGATCGATAAAACTTTTTTTTTTTAATGCACGGAGATTTAAGGAAGGGCTGGGGAGGGTGGTGGAAGCAAAGTGTTGCCTAGACAGCGAAGGTATAAGCACTAGGGGAAGTCTCCGCTCCCGGATTCCCAGAAGCGGAGCGACGGCCTACAAGTTGTACAAAATCTGCTCCAAGGAGTTACCTGAACTCCGTAGGCACTCCTGAAGGACGAAAGATTAGGAAGGCGCCTCAGCAGTTTATTCACCACGGGGGCCGCCATCTTGACGCACGCCCAAAGCAGGAATGGCCGGCAAGGCAACTGCGCATGCTCCCGGAAACCGCCTAGGACGGGGCAAAGACCAGCGCGGTGCGTCCGCGGCCACGCACTTGCGTCAGGACGGAAGCGAGAAAGGGGCGGGTCATGGAGAAGCTAATTTCAACTGCGTCACAGTGGAATTCGGCCTCAAAACTGAGTTTTCGAAGAACCAGTCACTATAATTCTTAAATCGTATCCTTATAGTTTACCTTTTAAACAATTTTGAAAGCGATTTTGGCCGAGGTTCCCACAGTACGCATGCGCCGGCCCCGTTCGGCCAATCCAGGATGAGAAATGTTTTCGGGGGCGGAAGTGATGAAGGCGAAGGAATGGGAGGTGCTAGTCTCTCCGGTCATGCGCACGCGCGTCCCGCCTCCTCAGCAAGGAGGCGGAAAATGTGCCCAGAGCGACCGGAAGCGGGTAGTGGATGAGCGAAGGTGAAGGAAGGATAGCCAATCAGCTAGCGCGTTGTCTTTCGGGTCAACCAATGAATTTACGCCTCGCGCACAATGTCTCGCGACAAGGGAAACGCACTAACACATTTGGGCGCATTGGGTGGTGTCCGAGTATAAAAGGCTCCGCCCGCGCGGACAGCCGCCATTCTGGGGTTCGTTTAGAGGTAAGTTCTTATGTTTTGTCGGTTGGGGGTTAAGATTTTACTAGAGCGTTGGCCTGGGAAGCGGACTTGGCATGGATTTATTTGAGAGTCACGGCTTCTATAAGCTTCCGGACTGGACGTGGAGGTGTTTGAGACGGCAAAAGCGGTCGCCTGGGGTGTGTTTAAAAAGCAGCCCGAACTGATGACATCTTCCTCCCCTTGTGTTCTTTCTATCCCAGGTTTGAATTTTCTCGGAGAAAGACAGGCCGGCCACCAGGAAAACAGAAACGAGCCGCATCAACATCTAAGCCCTTGAAAGGATCCTGAGCGGGGGGAAAGGGAAACAGCAGCCACCAGCCCAACCACTTGTGTCTTCTGCCCTTTCCCACCATCTTTGCCCGCCCCGCCAGCCCACGCTGCCTGGGACTTGAAATCTGTGGCCGAAGGACCGTCACCACATAACTTCAAAAATAATCAACCACCCTCCCTTCCAAACCCACCCAAGTCCACTTGTCCAGCGCTTATCTATTTTTTTAATCAACTCAGAACTTTTTTTTACGACCCCCCCTCCCTAAATGGAGTTGGGTGGGGGGGGGATGACTGCTGAGTTGGCCCTTGTTTTTTTTAAGAGACTTTTTGATCCAATGAGCCCCCCCAAATAGAGTTTTGGGTTCTGGTTGGTGGTTTTATTTTTTTTCTCCAAAATTTTAACCCCCTTCCCCCCTGAGCCCGAGGTGCTGACGTCGCAAAAAAATTGGATAGTAAGTGTCGACTTTTGAAAAACGAGCCTTGCAACGAGAAATCAACGTTTCCCTTGGTGAAACCAAAAATAATGAGAGGAAGAAATGAGACCATAGAACAAAGTAGCGAACTGGAGGAAGGACCGAGCCGGTCCCTTCATCTCCAATGAAAGGGCCTTTGGTTCTGAGTAGTTCTCTCCGCCACCTGCCTCTGCCCTGCCCCGCCGCAGGCCAGGAGCGCGAAGGGAGGCCAGCAAGGGAGGATTTGATGGTTAACCCTTGGTAATCCAGCCAATTGCCAGACTGCCAAAGCGCTAAGTTTGCTTTTTATAAGGAGGACGGTTACCTTCCTCGCTTGAGCAGCAGTCTTCAAAAGGGTTAATGAGCTCACATACAAAAGATGGTGGGTCTTGTGGCTCCGGAGGCCCACTTCTTTGTGTGTGAGACGAGCAGGGCGCCTTTCAATTTGCCAGATTAATAAGCAATCTGTACATAAAGATTGCAGGGTAAGGAGATGGGCACAGAAATACTAGCTGGCTATGACTTAAGATTGCTAAATCCTCTCAATTTAATGTAATATGCTTGGGGTGTATTTGTGGTTAAAATAGGTGGCAATCTAGAAATAAAGATTGCAAGACACTTAATTCAGGACAAAATATAATCTTAGTGCCAGTACATACAAGATAGTTAAAAGTAAATGTCTTGTAATTGTTGGAGATTGCATAAGTTATTTAAAAGCAAAAGATTAACATTTTAACTTGATACTATTGGTGGGTATAGAGGGTGGAAAGGTTGGGAAATGTGGAATTCAGGAGTATTAATTTTTAAAGCCATTTAGTGCGCTTAAATGCTAGCTTTCTAGATTTGTGTCGTTAAAGGATTTTTTTTCCTTCCCTGCTTCAATATGGCGACTTTCCTTGTCCTTTTGTCTTCCAAGCAGTGTTGCAGGTTGTCTCCCATTTTGGTCCTACCTCAACCCTATTAAGGGGGTTGGGGGGGTCCAAGTCCCTCCGCTTCCTTTTGTTTGGAGGATGGGGGTGGTCGATGGTAGGTTAAACCTCAATTGCAAATTCAATTCTTCCCCGCATAAATTGTTAATATTTTAATTGCTTTTACTTTCACAACGCTCTTACTCAAAATAGGTCCAAGACTTCAGGATGGGGGACTGGGATAGATTTATTTTTTTTTCACCCCCCACCCCTCCCCAGAAAGCGTTTTTTAATGTAACTACCGGCAGAGCAGGAGTGGCCTTTTAAATTTTCTCCATTACAAGATGGCGTCCCTCCCTCTTTGTTTTTCTCCCGGTTTGCAATCCAGAGCCTAGGGCCGCCCTAGAAACTTGGTCTGGGGGAGGAGCTTCCTTGAAAGGTGATGTAATCTTGCTTCCTCTCCTCCCTCTGGAAACCCCACCCCTGAGCTCATGCCTTCTGGCCTCCCAGTGCAGGTAGCCAAGAAAAGATCTTTAGAATATTTTAAAGCCGTTATTTGAAAAGGAAAAACAAATTACGTCTTCAAGCTGTTCATTTCCTTGGGCAGCTCTAGTTTTTTAACAATGACAGCCTGATCCTTTTCACCTTTTACTCATCACTACTGCTTGGAAGTATTCCTCACCTAAGTTGCCAGGGGTGGGAAAATTATAAGACAGAGCCTTTGAGGGAGTGTGAACTTCGGGGGGGGGGGGGGGGGTTGCATACTGGAGGCAGACAAGGGCTTGTGAAAGTAACGAGACAAATGTCATTTCTGCTCAGGAACCTGTCCTTGGGCCTCCTGTGTTATGTTGCTTTGTATAATGAGAATGGGGGGAGAAGGGTATTTTAGGAATTTCTTCTCTTCCCACTCCGTTTGGGGCTAAACTGTTCAGTGCTGTATCAGGTTCCCTGTTGCTTAGCTCCTGTACATGGTACTGGGATGAGAAGTGAATCTTAGGAAAGGAGGCGGCAGTTGTAAACTCAAGGCAGGGGGATTCAAGCCTCGGTTTCTGGTAAGCAAAACCTTTCTGGTATTACATTTTCACAGCCTCGTTTCTTTTATCCCAAGAGCCACCTTTTTTGAGTTTCTTTCCCTACTTTGTAAAATTCCTTAACAATGGGAGGATACTGTCTTCATTTTCAACTCATGCAGTGCTATAGCAGTTGGTGCATATTGAAAGACCAGGCCCTCTCTGAGGTTGGTAATTGATGTCCTGTCCCTTCTACTTTTTCAAAGTCAAATCTTTATCAGTCTCTCCATATACTTGTACTTTTTTAAAGTCCTACATTGAATCATGGTTCTAGGCAGAACTGGAAAGTCATTTTGTACAACTGCCATGGTGACTTGGGTGAAACCTCAGGGCTAATTTTCTACTAGTGTGAATTCTCAAATTATTATGGATTGGATGGGAGGGACATGTCTTGACCACAAGTTTTTTTTGGTTTTTTTTTTTTAAGTTTTTAATCTTTTAAGCAGTTTGCCTTATGCCTCTGCAGCATACTTTCCTTGGGAGCTGAACATTTGCCCTCTGGGGCTCCTGATCTCTAGTGAGCAGGAGATTAATAAAATCTTACTAACACGGGAGATGGGAAGCAAAGTCCTCTAGAGCCAAATTTTTCCAGAGCACCTGATCCTTGTAGATTGTGGCCAGAGTTCTATTCTGGAATCCTTTCCTGTGGGGATGGGGATGGGGTAGGGGTGGTGCTTTTATGAATAAGCTTCTGGTGAGCTCATGTGCCAGGTTTTCAAAATGAGGGAGGGACTGAGGCTTACTACTTAGAAGAAAGAAACAACATCGGAATCGCCAGACCTAATTCATGCCACTGTTGAGTCATGCTGCAAGGCCTCAAACACCGAAGAAAGGAAAGGGAATGTAAAGGATTAAGTACAAATTATTTTCATTTCCAGAAATGCTCAAGCCTTTAAGTTAAGGTAAAGGCCTTTCTTTGCTAGAAAGAGTATTGTCATTATTTTTAAAAGGAGTTGTATAGAATTTTTGTCCTGAGCCAATCAAGTTCTGTTTTGGTGATAGGAATGGCATAACTTCAGCCAAGTTAAATACTTTCCACCCTATGTAATAAAATAACCCGCAAGTATATTTCATTTTGGAGGCAGGAGTTGGTGTCCCTACTTTCAAACTGTATCTCTGGTAAGACACTAGAAATCTCGCCAGTGCCTGTATCAGTGTGGCGGTCTCAGCCTGCAGTTCCTCCATGAGGAAAGCCCCACAGAGGACCTGGTGGAGATTGGCTAGTGCCCCCACCACTTTTTTGTACTGCCTTCAAGGAAATTAAAGTAGACCCGGTGCTGGATTATTTCTGGTTCCAGAAATCAAGCTTCCAGTGCAGTCTCCATGTGACTAGGTAATGTATGGCACTTGGTCACCGCTTCTCCCCTGATCAGCTAATTGCCTTTTCTGCTGGAGGCCTGTGCCAAGAATGTAGGCTCTTTATTCCTTTCCACTTGAATACCTTGGACTTATCTCAAATTTTACTGACTTCAAAAGAGGGAAATTGGGTTGCCAGACACTTAGGATCCTAAATATTAAGCGAGTGAAAGCTGATCTTCCTGTAGGAAAGTTAATGAGAAAACTCACCTTTTAATCATAACATGGGTGCTTGTGATACAAGATTTAATTTATTGTATTTCCAAATACAAAAGAGGATAATAATGGAAAAGTGAATATTTTAACATTTCCTCCTCTTTGCCT